GGGGGCATTTGAAGTCACTGTGTGTAGAACTTCTTTTGAAAAGAAAGATGTCCAGAAGAATATGTCACTCGAGCAAAGTTCCTTTAACATGGGCTTCCGCTATTTATTTGTTTTATTTTTGTGTCATCTTTAAGTAATCATAACATTATTTGTTAATTTTATGTCTCAAATATTTTATAATAATAGAACCTTTGTTACTATACCTATTTGGATATTTTTATAGGTAAGAGTGTGTGTATGTGTGTGTGTGTGTGTGAAATCCCAAATTGTCACTAATATTCCCTTTTCTGCTTTGTTTTGCCTTGTCATGCTCTTCAACTATGATTATTACCATGGTCATTAGAGAACATGTATTAATTAGTATTCGGCTTCTTTTTCTCTCTTTTAAGGGTTTAGTTCCCCTACCAGGATCAAACAATGAATCTTGGTGCCAAGGATTAGATGGATTGGCTTCAAGGAGTGCTGAGTATTACAAGCAAGGGGCACGCTTTGCTAAGTGGTGAGCTTGAACTCTTTGTTGGAAATTCATGACTGCTCTTTCTTTTATTATCTATTATTTATTCACCCTTCTGTTTGATTGTTATTATCATCATATCAGGCGAACAGTGGTTAGCATTCCTTGTGGCCCTTCTGCCCTTGCTGTTAAGGAGGCTGCCTGGGGGCTTGCAAGATATGCTGCCATTTCTCAGGTATTATTGGATTCCATGATAGAGTTAGATCCTAATTATTATAACCTACAACTGAGGTGATGCGGTATTGAAGTCCACCATTGTTGAATTATGTCGTTTGACAACTCCTTTCTCCAGGATAGATCTTTATTTTTCATTTGTTGGAGACCAATATTCAGTCAAGCTTGCATCATTTTGACTTCCATACAACCATATCTGTTTAGTGATTGGATTGCAGTTTTGGTAGAGCATCACAAGAAACATCATCTTGATGAGAATGTAATGCAGATTAACCTTCCCTTTTATGTTCTGGGGGCAAGCAAGCACCACTTTGTGGACAATGATGGAAGTTGTGCTGCATTAATTCTTTTAATTATAGCAAGTTGTGTTTCATTGAAGATATTTCAGTAATGGTCACCTAAATCAAAGATTTTCTGCTTATTTCATCATGATCAACTTTAAATGATCTAGTGTAAAAACTCCAATAGCTCTCAGTAATGATATGAATCTCTTGGTTTTGCTTGTCTAGAAGGTCATATAGTGAGAGATAGTTGTCAGAGGATATTTTCTCTAACAGTAAAGGTTTGCAGGATAATGGTCTTGTACCAATTGTAGAACCTGAGATTCTCCTTGATGGAGACCATTCGATTGATCAGACACTTGAGGTAGCAGAGAAAGTATGGTCAGAGGTCTTCTACTACTTGGCTGAAAATAATGTCATGTTTGAGGGAATCCTGTTGAAGCCTAGTATGGTTACTCCTGGTGCTGAACATAAAGAGAAGGCAACTCCTGAGACCATTGCCAAATATACCCTCAAGATGCTCAACAGGAGAGTACCGCCTGCCGTTCCTGGCATCATGGTACAACTCATTGTGAACTGCGGTTCTTTCATTTTATGTTATTGTTTTTTAATACTGAAAAGGTCAATTACCAACATGTATTAAATCAAAGATTAGGAAATGTTTGGGGTTTCCTTCTTCTCGCATTATTTGCTGTTACAGCTGACCCCTCTTGATTAGCTAGTGATAGCCGATAAGCAAAGTTCCCATTAGAATTTTACCATGTTTAAAAGCTCCCTGGATGCATTAAGAGACAAAAAAATATCATAATTATTTCTTGATAAGTTAAACTTCCTACTGAATACTGTGTTATATGCCTATATTAACTCCTTAGTTTACATATCAACCGCACATCCCACGTTCTGTTGATGTCTCCTCTCCACGCGACCTGTTAATCTTTCACCTCTCTTTTTTAGTCGGAACCAATCCATTATGTATGATAATTACACATTATACTTTAGCTGTTATTAATTATTAATGACTTTTAAGCTCTGA